TATAATCTGGATTCAAGCTAAATTCATATTAAAACAATTTAATTATATTCATCATGCATAAGCATATGTAAGGGATAGGGCGAATATATCCGCCGTTCGCTCAAAAAGGTTAAACCATAATCACATCACTACTGATTGATAACTAATCAAAGTATAGTTTGTTGATGTTTTGAGTTAATCCTGATCAAAGTACTCTCTGTTTAAGTTTTGAATTAATCTGATGAAAGTATAGCTTATTTAAGATTTTATTTAATCCTGTTACTATAAAAGTAGAATTAATCCTCTGTGCAAGTTAAAACAATAAAATAATTAAACCTAATACTGAGAAATAAAATTAATTCATTGTACAAATTGAAATAATTACATTATAAACTTATTTTTTTTTAAAGAGATGTCGGCTTTACATTTTCTTTGTGACTTTTGAGTCCATTTTGGAAATCCGCTGTTATAGTCGCAGTAAAACGGTGCAATTTAATGTCTCTTCAGTGTTAAATTGGATTACGCAACATGGCCTTAATAAAGGATAATTTAAATCAGCGATTCGACTCGCTACGGATTTCAATTTCGCATCGTCAAAGAGAGAATCAAAGAATAATGCATTTCGCAGACATTGCATAATTGAGTTTTTTGTTTCCGAACTTTCCAACAGTTTATAATCATATATGAACATCATTACAATACGAAAATTGTAGTCTCAATGATCTTAATTATAAAATTGCAATTTTATAAACAAAAATAGATAAATTCTAAAAACAGGAAGAAATTACTTGTATTAAGTTCATTATAAACAAATATAATAGAAAAAAATCAGGAAGAAAAAAGTTGATTGAATCTTTGTACAAACTTCACTGTAAAATCAATATTACTGACAGTATTTGAGAACATTTTTTTTTCGAATCAGAAAGAAAAAAGTTGATTGAATCCTTGTTCACTATATCACTATAAATCAATAATTTCGACAGAAAGAACAAAAAATTGAAAAATTCAAAATCTGGAAGAATTTTTGAATTTCATTATAAAACTTATATTATTTGAAGTATTGAGTAAAAATATTTGAAACAATAAAAATTAGAAACTTCTTTGTTAAATCTTTGTTAAACTTCATTAATAAATCAATATTTTCGATAGTTTCATAATTGAAGTAAATTAATAAGAAAGAAATTAATTGTAAATTGAATATTGAAAAGAAAAAACAAAACTCAGAAAAGATTCGTCCTTAAAACTTCATTATAAAATGAATATAATTTACAAAAAAATTGAAAAATAAATAATAAAGAAAAAAGTTGAATATTTCTAAAAAAAAAATATAAATCAGGAACAGGAGAAGTTCACAGAATCCTTTCGGAATTTATAATTACGCGCTCGTCCGTTTGTTACGTAACAATGATCATCGTTTTTATTATTTTTTTTTTCTTTGCGTTGTAAATGAATCCACGCCCGCCGTGGAGTTTCGTTAATTAAGTTTTCGTTGGAACACGTAGTGCGTTTATATCATAATCCCAGCTCCCAGTTTTGGCTCACGTTGCCTTCCACGGATGAGATCAATCCTCTACCTCCTGAAACCACGTCGAAACCTTAAGTCTCTCATACAACGTAATCAACTCACGTGTACAAGAGTGTTACATCCTTGATTGGTTTGCAAACCTTTTGTAGAAAAGACGTCGTGCACGAAAACTTATTTATGAAACTTCCTGAAATATGAAACGCGAAGATCCAAAGCGAGACGTTCTCAGAATCTTTATGAAATCATCTCTTAGTTTAACATATTTAACATACGTGCATAGAGTGAGGTAGATTTAATAAACGACCGATTCGCAAATGTGTGTTTTATTAATTGCAGTCCGTAATGATTTGTGCTCTTACAATGCGTTTAATTGGAGCTCGCGTGGCTTCAATGTGATTAGTAATAATTGGCAATTAGTGTCTCTTAAACAAGTCGGCATTGAACGTCTGTAACACAATTAGTTGTAACGAGCATGTAATTACTATTGATTCCAATTGGTATTTTACTGGAAAGCAACGGAAACTTATTTCACTCGCGCCGGATCTATATTTAATTACATCTAAGCAGGATGTCGAGCGTAATTTAAGCTCTCAAAGACCAGTAGCTACACATTTGGAGAATTTCACTGAATACACCTTATACCATTAACAGAACTATATAAACTCATTGCATAATACACATACCACCAACAAATTACATTTTACTATAAATTAACACAGTTCATACCAGCTAAATTACAGCATATTTATTATATAACTTAATTACTTAATGAATTTGTTAATCAAAGTCAAATATTTCAAATTCAATTCATTCTTAGAAAATTACATTTTTGTCACGTCAAATCACGTTTTCTTTCAAATTTGACCATATTTCCATAATATTTGATCATTTCTGAAATAAATATTTTATATGTAATATAATAATATCGAATATTTGATAATGTTACATTTTGAAAAAAATCCATATTTTTTTCATAATCCTGAATAATTCAAGTAATTACAAAGTAAGAGAAAGAACAAAGAAATAGAACAAAGAAATTTCTGATTAATATTGTCATAAATTTTATTCAAAACGTGAGAGTAAGTCTTATTACTTTTTAAATATTTTATTAGTTTTATTTGCAATAAAAAGTTTCCAATATTCTAAAATGTTATATTGTGGACATTTATTTAGTAATCATGAACAATCCAAGTAATTACAAAATTAATTTCTTCAGTTTTCTTTTCATTCATTACAAAACAGGTTGAAACACATTTTGAAAATATGCAAATTTCCAAAAAGGATTATCTTTAATACAATAAATTAATCCTTTGATGCTCTCATATTTAAATTACACAAAAAAACCTAATCCAAATTGAAACAAATCTTTAAACTTTGTTTGTACTTTGTTAATTACGCTTGCGTTTAAAATTATGTTGAAATTGAATTTTTCGGATTTCCACTTGTTGTGTATCGTCTCCCCTGTGTCCTTAGAATTGCACTCAACTTAAATGAATCTTTTGCCCTCGAGTTTATTGGCCGACGTCCAGACCATCAGCAGATTAACGATACAGATTGCAGAACGAAAATTATTACCGAATGGACTAAATCTTATTTAGTTTATCCTTTATGCAATAAATAGTTGGAATTGTAGAAAAGTTAATTGAATTTTAGAAAAATTTATGTAATTTGTTGATTTTATTGCAATATTAATGTAATTTTATCATTTTTTTCAATAAGAAATTGTTAAAATAAAGAACAAATTTTATTAATATATTTAAATCTTGAATAAATAATTTACTATAATTGTATTAAAAAGAAAAAATATCATATAAAGAAATATAAGAAATATTAGTAAACAAATATGACAAAAATTTACATGAAAATCATTTTTTTACTGTTAAAACTATGGTTTTTCTAAATTGAAAAAAAAAATAAAAATCACAAATTATTTAAAGATGTAAACAATTTTGTTATAAAGTAAGCAAAATACAAATTGTGTATATTTACAATTCGTTGAAATTTTATAATTTTATTAATACAAATATTCCAGAAAATACACAATGTTTCATTGATGAATATGGGAGAAATGTGAATGTTTGTGTTGTTTATTTTTTTTATATAAATAAAATATGCAATTCTCGAAGAATTTCTGTGAGCCATATTTAAGCCATCTGCTGGGATTAAAAGTTTTGAAGCAATTCCAAACTAATTTAAGCGAATTTGCATTACACGTTACGGCGGATGCGCCGGGTTTTCTCCGATAAATCCGACGACTCGTAATTGGGAATTCCAGTATTCTCTTTCACTTAGAACTAAATACAAAATATGCAGCGAGAATTACGTGCGCTCAAAAGAATGCGTCGGAAATGAAGACAAACTGAGTTATTTCCGCTTTGTCTGCAAAGTGTGAACAAAATAAATAAAAGAGATGGACAGAAAAGAGAGAGAAAATAAAATAAAACAATAATATTGTTTTTGTCGCTCGATGAGGAGGATTCGTCCGATGTTTCTGCGAGGGTGGATATTGGAATGAGGGTAGAAAAATAATAAGCGAACCATAAATAAACATTCAAGCGCCATTAGCGGGTGAAAAAGAGAATCGAAGTGGAGAATCGATCCGGAGGGTTTTTTTTCGAATATTTCACTTAAACTGCGATATTATCAAGATAAATTCCACCCTTCATAACTCAGCACTTAATAGTTTTGGAAAGAGGGATGGGGGGGATTTATGGGATGGCAGAAAGGAAAGAATCTTCGCGCTGCAGCAATTTATATTTGTCTGCGTCGATTCTCTTAATGCGCATTCATTAATATTGAACAGTTTCTATGCTTTTTTTTCTTCGAGTTAAGTTGATTAAAGCAATGAATTTAGAGTTTTATGGAAGTATTGATACAATGTTTGCTTTATTAAAAAAAAAGATAAGACTACATTCTTTGGAATGTTAAATTGAAAAATCGAAGTTTTCTATTGAGTATAAATGAAGTTATATGGAAATTATTCAAATTCAAATTAGTATAAGAAATATTGATAAAATTTGAAAAATATCTTAATCATTTTTTTTTAAATAAATTAATTAAAGGTAATTACATAAAGTTGTATAGAAAACTCTTAAATACAATATTTTTTAATTAATTTATTAAATTATTCAATAAATCGAAGGTCATTATAGATTTATTAATTGAATTTGTATAGAAAATTAGATTGTAAGAAAACTGTTAAGATTATATAAATCAATGCTTAATACTGGCTCGAAAAGCTTAAATTAAATTACGGTTTAGTGGCCAGTAAAGTTCCAACTTAATTTATATGGAGCGCGGCACTCTAATCCAATGAGTCGTAAATTATGTTTAATGACGAATAATAAATTTCCATTCATCGCTGTGAAATTTTGCAGTGGGGAAAAAATACAGTTTTCTCTTTTTTTGCACTGAAAGCACGAGGAATTGTTTGCGTTTGCAAATAGTTAAAGTGAATGAGAAATGCAGAGTAGATGATGTAAAGTGGACACTTTACCTGGCATTCGTATGTCCCGTTGTCGCGCTTCTGCACGTACTTAATCTGTAGAGTCCAGTCATCTGATCCTTCGGCGTGCAGAATTTGAAACCTCTCGTCGTTGGTGTAAGTGAACATTCCGGAGGACAGGATGTGCCAGTCGCGACGACGAACCCAAGAGATTTGCTGCAAAATAACAGAGAAAAAAATAAATAAATAAATAAATAAAAGAAGGAAAGGCTGAGAGAAAAAGGCTTGAAAGTGAGTAGACAAATAATATAAATGTGAAAGAGTGAGAGTGAGTGAGAAGAAACTGGAGGATACAGTCAAATAAAAACCGACCCACGTCACATTAGAGGAACGTGTGTCACAGCGAAGCACACGATATTACGTTTCAATCGTGACAGCACAACATATCTCTCCTTTTTCTCAGCTTTACTTATTTTTTCCTTCGGTCTAATTAGAACTCTTTTAAGACATATTTTTATATTTAACATCAACTACTATAAAATATGACATATACACTTATTAATTTGATAATATTTATATTACATAAGTTCAGATAAACATGATAATTTTATGTTTCAATGCTCTAATTAAAGCCAAATTTCAAATGAATCTGATACAAATATATATCTAGAACCGCTTTTTCTGTAATTTGCCCTCAAAGTTAAAATAACCGTTTTTCTAACATCCAAAAAAGCAGTCTTCACATTTTGTTGTATTACTCTACATCCAATAATGCTAATTATATGTTTGAACACTCTAATTAAAGCCAAATATTCAGGATTTAATTTAAATGAATCTGTATATTTGTATCTAGTACCGTTTTTCTGTAATTTGCTCTCAAAATTAATAAAACGTTTTTTTAACATCCGAAAAAGCAGACTTCACATTTTGTTGAATTACTCTACAACCAATAATGCTAATTATATGATTGAACACTCTAATTAAAGCCAAATATTCAGGATTCTATTTGAATGAATCTGTATATTTGTATCTAGTATCATTTTTCTGTAATTTGCTCTCAAAGTTAATAAAACGTTTTTTTAACATCCGAAAAAGCAGTCTTCACATTTTGTTGTATTACTCTACAACCAATGATGCTAATTATATGTTTGAACACTCTAATTAAAACCAAATGTATAGGTTTCAATTTGTATATATATATATGTAGACGAATCAGAAAAATATTTAGTTCAAATTTGGTGTATTTTATAATTTTTGTAACAATGAGTTTAGTCTACTAATTTAAACTAGAAAATTTATTAAAAAATGAATAGAAATTTAGCATATTTTCTTTTTTTTTGTATCTGTATACTTTACTCAATTAATTTAAATCAAAAAATGAATAAAAATAAACTCAATAAAAATTGTTCTTTGTTTCTATAAATTATTTTTGTTTTCTATGTATCAAGAATACAATGAATACATTCATATTTCACCTAAATTATTACATTGGCGTGTTTCTGCAAAATTTAACGAAGCACAACAGCAAAAAAAGAAAATGAATATTACAATGAATACATACGTTTTCTCTCTCGAAACCGAACTTCACTTAAATCTCACTCTCACACAAAGTGTATACATAAACTTATTACTATACAGTATTGTATAATAATACCCCTTCGTGATCAAGATCATAATGAGACAGATAATAAAAAAATATACTATATTTCATGCAAACAAATTCGAGACGGGCTAATTCACAACATAATCCATTGTGGTAACTACAACATTACCTAATCAATAAAGTTATTATAATAATAAATAAGTTTGGATGTTATTATAAAATAGAAATTATAAGTATAATTTGGGCTAAAATATATAATTTATTTACAAAGAAAATTAGCATTATTTTGCATATTTTTTTTGTCTCTAATTTTAAGTATCTAATTTATCTGGCAATTTAATCAAATTTATTTACGTTCTTTTATGATAATTACAAAATAAAATGAAGAAATGTTATTAAGATATAAGTTTAAAAACATATTTTTTCTTTATAATCAAATAAAGTTAATTTTTTTCTTTGTTTGTTAATAATTGAATACTAGTTTGTAAGTTATTTTTAGGACTTAATCTTAAACTTTAAGACCGGCCGACAATGTTATCTGGAATTATACCCATATCTTCTTCTCCTCTCTTCCTCGTAACTCAGTTCATGTCTGGATGTGCGTGCTACCATCCTTTTTATTGTTACTTTATTTTTATGGCCAATAAAATCGGATCCGCGAAATCTCTTACTCACATGGATTTGGCCGACGGCATTATGTGAACCTTTGAATAGACCGGCGCATCCAGCCGAAAATAGTTTATTATTATTCGGAACGAATCTTCTGGTTTTATTAAAAAAAAATAATAAACTCGTATCAAAATGAACTCAACCCTAAGAAAGGTACATTTTATAGTCTATGTTGGATTAAACGATGTATTCTGATCCATGGAAATAATCCAAATAGAGTGAAACCTCGCTTAACGAGTTTAATCCGTTCCAAAATTTTCGAATTTTTACTCGTATAGTGAAACATATTCAAAAATACACATGCTATGATGTAGCAGACACGCAATCCGGGACTTCTCTTCTTATCGTCACTCGTTATGCGAGTTGCTCGTTAAGCAAGTTAGGAAGTTTAGGTCTACAAAATCCCCACTATAATTAAGTAAATAGTAACTTTAAATTGTAAATAGTAACTAGACAAAATCCTTAACAACCGAAACGTGTCAATTACTATTATAATCAAAATACATATTTAGTAATTATGATAGTATCCATAGCAACAAACTACAATAACTGTAATTAGTTACCAACATAAGTGGAAATAAAGTAACTAGATATTAAATTTAAATTGTTGATACAATTCAATTATAATTAATATAAATGATTGATTTTATGTCATAAATATAATTAAAAACGTTATTAATATTTGCTTACAGTAAACCATTATGAATCGAATTCAAAACACGGCCCTAAAACGAAATAAAGGCCATTGTTTAAATGAATAATTGAATAGTGATGGTCATTCGAAAATTCAACCATTGTAATTGTTTTTAATTTTATTGTTAATTTCGTACTCGTTTGTTACATTTTATGCAATTATTAGTTAATTAATTTGAACGGGACTTTGTCGTTATTTATTTTATTTTATTTTATTTTATTCAATTTGTTTGATTCGTAAATTTCGCGAATTAGACACATAAATTAATTACGGAAAAGCGTTTTTATTTGGTGGAAATTGCTGCAAACGTCATTTTGCATCGCAAATATTGGGGCGCAGATTAAATCTTGATCAAAGCCTTTCAGAATCGAACACACATAATTCACAAAGTAAACGGTGGCTTTGCGCTATAATTTGCGTAACGCTAGTGCAAGTTTTAATGAAACAATTAATTCAATTTCTCTGCATAAATATGTTTTGGTTCGTGGATGCAGAATCGTCAGGACGTGTTCTTCCTTGAGGGCTAGAGTGATGTTGTTATGAAACTTTGTGAAGCAAACGTTAAGCAAATGTTATGTGATATGTTTCGTGTATGTTACTTTTTGGATTTCCTTGCAAAGATGAAATAATCAGTAATTATATAAATTTAACAATTTACGTATGCATTTATTTAGTACACAAAAATGTTATTTAAATATAAATATGTTTATATACTTTTATATAATAATATGTAAGTATTAGTATATAGTATACTTTTATTCATTAGTAAATTCTAAAAAATCAGTACATAAAATTATTCCTCAAAATTCTCTTTAACAAAAGATGACAGTTGTCCAATTGCTAAGAGTATTTGATCAGTTCCTCTCATTCATACAAGGTGACAGCTGTCATTTTGGGATCTAACATATTTGTTTTTAGTTATACTTCGATCCAATTGCTGTCATCTCATAACCCAACATAATTGTTTGCTATTGTACTGCGACTCAATTGCTGAGAGTATTAAGACAATTTTGGGATCTAACATATTTGTTTGTAGTTATACTTCGATCCAATTGCTAAAAGTATTTCACCAGTTTCTTCCTTTGACACATAGTGACAGCTGTCATTTCGGGACCAATTGCTAAGAGTATATATCACCAATTCCTTGTCTTTGACACAAGGTGGAATCTACTTCTTCAAGACTTAAAACTACTTTTTACATCAACCTAAGTTTCTCGCTTTGATACAAAGTGACAGCTGTCATTTGTATTTGATCAGTTCCTCTCATTCATACAAGGTGACAGCTGTCATTTTGGGATCTAACATATTTGTTTTAGTTATACTTCGATCCAATTGCTAAAAGTATTTCACCAGTTTCTTCCTTTGACACATAGTGACAGCTGTCATTTCGGGACCCAACATATTTGTTTATTTCATCAGTTCCTCTCATTGATACAAAGTGACAGCTGTCATTTCAAGCTTACTCTTTCTCTCCATTTGCTTTGATACAAAGTGACAGCTGTCATTCATTTTGGGATCCAACATATTTGTTTGTAGTTATACTTCGATCCAATTGATAAAAGTATTTCACCAGTTTCTTCTTTTGACACATAGTGACAGCTGTCATTTCGGGACCCAACATATTTGTTTATTTCATCAGTTCCTCTCATTGATACAAAGTGACAGCTGTCATTTCGTGACCTAACATATTTGTTGATATTTACACAGCGACCTAATTGCTAAAAGTATTTCACCAACTCTTCGCTGTTACACAAGGTGACAGCTGTCATTTCGGGACCCAACATATTTGTTTATTTCATCAGTTCCTCTCATTGATACAAAGTGACAGCTGTCATTTTGGGATCCAACATATTTGTTTGTAGTTATACTCAACCTCTTTACCACGTGATCCAACATATTTGTTTGATCATGAACTGTAACCCAATTGTTATAACTATTTCTCGCTTTGACATAATGTGACAGCTGTCATATTTCGCAAACTAATTGCTAAAAGTGTTTCACCAAATCCTCGTTTTGATACAAGGTGACAGCTGTCATTTGGCGATCAAATGTAGTATTACACAATATCGTCGTCTTTGACACAAAGTGACAGCTGTCATTTCGGACCCAACATATTTGTTTATTTCATCAGTTCCTCTCATTATACAAAGGTGACAGCTGTCATTTTGGGATCAACATATTTGTTTTAGTTATACTTCGATCCAATTGCTAAAAGTATTTCACCAGTTTCTTCCTTTGACAAATAGTGAC